TTAGAGGAACTGCTGTATTCGCCACTCAAATTTTTCAGCATCAGAGGTTGCCGCTTGCTATATTAGTGAGCCCTTAACATCACTTTATTTCACTGCACAGCACTGTATTATGCTTTTCCATTGATATCTTTTCACTTCCCTGCACCTTACTGCAACCCCCCCCCCCAAATCCTCTAAATATAAAAATCTAAAGTAAACAAAAAGCCAACAATATTTTTTAATAGAAATTAAAGGGGGGAATTAAAAAATACTTTGATCAATGGGCTTTGATCAGTGGTTGTTGATCAATGGTCATGAGAATTTGCATATTAATGATCAAGGAACTGACCTCACAGCCCATTATTCAGTCAGTGGGCTAGTTTCCACTGATGTGCAAATGTACTCTAAGGTTGGGGAAACCTGCAGTCAGCTGAGACTGAAGAAGTCACTTGGATTATGACGAAATGTTTCTCGCACTGAAAACGCTACATCCAGATGAACAGAATCAACCTTTTGGGATTTACTTACCTGGATGATTTGAGCATCCATGAAGACAAATTTAAAAAAGAGGTTATGAGTTCAGCTAAGACAATAAGATGACAGAAGAAAAGTGTTGAGGGTGGGAGACGCGAATGTAACAGACAAGAAGTAAAGTGACACTGAAAGAGAGGAGAGGAAGAGCAATCCAGCATCAAGATACTAGTGTATCAGCTTCCAGATAAAGCAGGCCATCTGGGTTTTTTTTCTCTTCACTGATTCGCGGATTCTGTCATGGTCCTCCTCCGTCCATTTAAGCCTCAAACAGACACCAGCTGCTACTACTTTATACTTCGTCAGCAGGACATAATGTAAAAGATGTCATGGATGTCACGTTCCTGGGTCTTCTGGCCTAGTGTTTTAAGTTTTAGTTTATTTGGGTGTTGATGTTTATGTTTAAGTTCTTTAGGTTAGCTAAGTTCATTTGTTTATTAGATTCCCTCTGTGTTTTAGTCCCCGTCCTATGTACAGTGTGTCTAGTTTTGCTTCCCTTTGTCTCGTTAGGTCTGATTTTTCCCAGCTGTGTTCCCACCTGTTCCCCATCCCATCATTATCTCTGTGTAGTTAAGTCCTCTGTCCTCCTTTGTTCAGTGTCAGGTTGTCTGTTGTGCCATGTTTCCATGCGTTATATTTTAGGTAGCTTTGTATCCATGCCAAGTGTCACGGTTTGCGGGGCAAGCCGTGTGAATTTGTAGTAAGGACCAAAAGGGTGGCAGTTCTGGTGCAGGTGAGTGTTTATTTATAATAGTGGGTCAATACAAACAGCAAGGGTGGCAAAACATGAAACTAGAAACCTAAACTGGGTAAACTAATAAGACAAACCAGAAACGAAGATGCAGGGAGGTCCGGGGAAATGCATACGGAGAGACGCAGGGAGACCGAGAGGAAACAACACAGACGAACCAGCAATTACTATGACAGAAGACACAACTTAAATACACTCAGAGAACACAGGGAGATTACATACAGGTGGGAACACAGCTGGGAGTGATTAACAAGACGAGACTAGGGAGGCAAACTGAAAACACTCACATAAGACACAGACCTTCA